ACGGAGTAGGGTGGCACGTTTACTGATCCCCACAGGAGGCTGATTCACATTGAGAAACAGAAAACCTCCTTAACAAAGCTGGCTCTCCCCAGCAATAACGGCAGACTAATAAAGAGCGAGCGTCAGAAGAAAGCGGAGGGGGGCTTTGCTAGCTTTTATTGCTGCCGATCTCCTCTGGTGCAAATTGCAGGTCAAACAGGTTGATTTGCAGGTTGACCCGTCCCTCCCGGCTGACGCCTAAAGCATACTGCTGGGAAAGTATATTAAACATACTCAACAGGCCCCTGGTGGTTACCTACCTTTATTTGTAGTTAAAATGCTGCCAGCCTGAAAATGAATGTCTATCACAAGCTAATTAATCCTTCAGAGACCAACAATCAAATTCCACTGGATATTAAAGAAATTATTATTCACATGACAGTTTCTTTGTGTTTAAATTGCCATATATATATATATATATATATGAGCCACTAATCCCTCTTAGATCTCTAAAACTTGTTTCTGAAAAATGACACACTATAAAGAAAAGCAAAATAGACAGTTAAAGGTAATCACAACAGTTTATTCCTAAATGGCAGAAAGTAGTCCAATGACTGACTGTTGCAGTTGCAGTCCTCTCTGGCGAAATACAATAGTTTTGAAGGAGGAGTCACAGAGTAAAAATTAAGCTGTTAATCACTGAAAATCTTATGCTGTGAATAAGATTTATCCTCTGTGAAGGTGTGTTTTTCTCACATCTACCATTGTTTGATCTATATTTCTTGACGCATAAATGGAAAGTGGAAACTTTGCCAATGGAATTGGACATGCAAAGCCACAAATAATTTTTGCTGATGTACTTTTTTGCAATTGGAATCTAGACTAATTACTACAAAGAATGCCAGTTGGCAATAAAAATCGCAAAAAAATGAGATATCTTTAATATATCAATTGTTCCTTCTAGACAACAGCGTGATTAAACAGAGAGCGAATTGTGACTTCTGAATCTCAAATTCACGCCTCCGAAAAGGTCTCCAGTGAACTCGCATGTGTTTCTAGAAAGATCTAAATAACATCTCAAAGGAAGCTCAAATTTGCCAAGTTCATAAAGTATGCAATTAAAAGTCAGATATGTCAATGTGAACTCAAATATTTCAAATGTCTGTCATATCAAATGATTTGAGCTTTATATTCTTACTGCATGTCAACTAATTATTCATGTGTATTTTTTTAGTATAAAAAACACCTGAGAAAAAAAAAGAGATCAATTAGTCATGGTAATATGCCTTTGCATTACTTTAATTAATCTTTTTAGGTTATATAAGACTCTTTTTAAAATCTGTTTAATATAATTTAGGTTAAAAATACTTGTTTAGCCAATTTGATTGTACTTAAAGGGTTAGTTCACCCAAAAATACAAATTAGGCTGTGTTTCACTCACCCCCGATGCATCCTAGGTGTATATGTCTTTCATCTTTCAGACGAATCCAGTCGGAGTTATATTAAAAATTGTCTTTGATCTTTCAAGCTCTATCGTTGTACTCGTTAAACTTTTTTTTTAAGTGTCCTTGTTACAGTGTTAATTATACAATTAAGTACTGCGTAATATTAATTAACTACATGTACTTACTATATGGTTGGGGTTAGGATTAGGGTTACTTGCATGCAATTATGCATCCAATTTTTTCACCCAAATCCCTTTGACCTAAAATACTTACTTCTTTATTATAATAAATAATAATTGTCACATGGCATGGAGATAAACATCTTTTTTTGTAAGTGTTTTATAAGAATGTTTTTTATTTAAAAAATATTTGGTAACACTTTATTTTGATAGTTCACTTTAGACATTCTATTAACAGTAAGTAACTTTGCAACTACATGTCAACTAGCAGTTAGTAGAGTATTAGTTACCTCCTGTAGCGAATCGATGCGTTTTCATAAAATATCCATATTCAAAACATAATAATCACTTTAATCTAGCTTG